CTGATCCCGATTTTTGGGGTTTTGATCCCAAATTTGGGGTTTTGATCCCAATTTTTGGGGTTTTGATCCCGATTTTTTGGTTTTGATCCCAATTTTTGGGGTTTTGATCCCAAATTTGGGGTTTTGATCCCAATTTTTGGGGTTTTGATCCCAATTTTTGGGGTTTTGATCCCAAATTTGGGGGTTTTGATCCCAATTTTTGGGTCCTGATCCCAATTTTTGGGGTTTTGATCCCAAATTTGGGGGTTTTGATCCCAATTTTTGCGTCCTGATCCCGATTTTTGGGGTCTTGATCCCAGTTTTTGGGTCCTGATCCCGATTTTTGGGGTTTTGATCCCAAATTTTTAGGGTTCTGATACAAATTTTCCAGAGCTGATCCCAAATTTTTGGATCCTGGTCCTGATTTTTGGGGTCTTGATCCTGATTTTTGGGGTCTTGATCCCAATTTTCTGAGGCTGATCCCAATTTTTGGGTCCTGTTCCCAAATTTTTGGGGTCTTGATCCCAATTTTCTGGGGCTGATCCCGATTTTTGGGGCTCTGATCCCAATTTTTTGGGGTTTTGATCCCAATTTTTGAGAGTTGATCCCAAGTTTTGGGTCTTGATCCCGATTTTTGTGTCCCAATCCCTATTTTTTGGATCCTAATCCCAATATTTTGGATTCTCATCCCAATTTTTGGATCCTAATCCAAATTTTTGGAGCCCTGATCCCGATTTTTGTGTCCCAATCCCAAATTTTTTGGGTTCTGATCCCAATTTTTTGGATTCTCATCCAAATTTTTGGAGCCCAGATCCCAATTTTTGGATTCTCATCCCAATTTTTGGGTCCCCATCCCAATTTTTGGGGTTCTGATCCCCATTTTTGGATCCTAATCCCAATTTTTGGAGCCCTCATCCCAATTTTCAAGGTCCTGATCCCGATTTTCGGGTCCCAATCCCAATTTTTTGGATTCTCATCCCAATTTTTGGGGCCCTGATCCCAATTTTTGGATCCTCATCCCAATTTTCATGTCCCAATCCCAATTTTTTAGCTCCTGATCCCAATTCCCGGGACATTTCCCGGAATTTCAGCCGTTTTCGGGCCGGATTTCCCCCAAAATTCCCGGGAAAAAATCCCATTTTCCCCCCTCCCCCACCTCCAGCCGGGAATTCCCGGGAATTTTTGGGAATTCCCGGATTTTTGGGGGTTTTTCCTCACTTGTACTTGAGCAGGGAATTCTGCGGGATCTGATAATTCGTCATCGGCTTCCGGAAGGAATAAATCTTCTGGAGAACAAATTCCCGGATTTTCGTCACGGCCTGAGGGAAAAAATGGGAATTTTGGGGAATTTTTGGGAATTGGGAAGGTCCCAGATGGTCCCAGGGGAAAAATCCTGGAATTTGGGGGGAAATTTGGGATTTTGGGGAATTGGGAAGGTCCCAGATGGTCCCAGGGGAAAAATCCTGGAATTTGGGGGGAAATTTGGGATTTTGGGGAATTGGGAAGGTCCCAGATGGTCCCAGGGGAAAAATCCTGGAATTTGGGGGGAAATTTGGGATTTTGGGGAATTGGGAAGGTCCCAGATGGTCCCAGGGGAAAAATCCTGGAATTTGGGGGGAAATTTGGGATTTTGGGGAATTGGGAAGGTCCCAGATGGTCCCAGGGGAAAAATCCTGGAATTTGGGGGGAAATTTGGGATTTTGGGGAATTGGGAAGGTCCCAGATGGTCCCAGGGGAAAAATCCTGGAATTTGGGGGGAAATTTGGGATTTTGGGGAATTGGGAAGGTCCCAGATGGTCCCAGGGGAAAAATCCTGGAATTTGGGGGGAAATTTGGGATTTTGGGGAATTGGGAAGGTCCCAGATGGTCCCAGGGGAAAAATCCTGGAATTTGGGGGGAAATTTGGGATTTTGGGGAATTGGGAAGGTCCCAGATGGTCCCAGGGGAAAAATCCTGGAATTTGGGGGGAAATTTGGGATTTTGGGGAATTGGGAAGGTCCCAGATGGTCCCAGGGGAAAAATCCTGGAATTTGGGGGGAAATTTGGGATTTTGGGGAATTGGGAAGGTCCCAGATGGTCCCAGGGGAAAAATCCTGGAATTTGGGGGGAAATTTGGGATTTTGGGGAATTGGGAAGGTCCCAGATGGTCCCAGGGGAAAAATCCTGGAATTTGGGGGGAAATTTGGGATTTTGGGGAATTGGGAAGGTCCCAGATGGTCCCAGGGGAAAAATCCTGGAATTTGGGGGGAAATTTGGGATTTTGGGGAATTGGGAAGGTCCCAGATGGTCCCAGGGGAAAAATCCTGGAATTTGGGGGGAAATTTGGGATTTTGGGGAATTGGGAAGGTCCCAGATGGTCCCAGGGGAAAAATCCTGGAATTTGGGGGGAAATTTGGGATTTTGGGGAATTGGGAAGGTCCCAGATGGTCCCAGGGGAAAAATCCTGGAATTTGGGGGGAAATTTGGGATTTTGGGGAATTGGGAAGGTTCCAAGGGAAAAAATCCTGGAATTTTGGGGGGAATTTGGGATAAAATGGGGGAAATTTGGGATTTTTGGGAATTGGAAAGGTCCCAGATGGTCCCAGGGGAAAAATTCCTGGAATTTTTGGGGGAAATTTGGGGGTTTTTGGGAGTCCCAGGGGAAAAATTCCAGGAATTTTGGGATAAAATGCGGGAAATTTGGGATTTTTGGGAATTGGGACCATCCCAGGGGAAAAAATCCTGGAATTTTGGGGGAAAATTTGGGATAAAATGGGGGAAATTTGGGATTCTGGGGAATTGGGAAGGTCCCAAGGGAAAAAATCCTGGAATTTTGGGGGAAATTTGGGATTTTTGGGAATTGGGAAGGTCCCAGATGGTCCCAGGGGAAAAAATCCTGGAATTTTTGGGGGTAAAATGGGGGAAATTTGGGATTTTGGGGAATTGGGAAGGTTCCAAGGGAAAAAATCCTGGAATTTTGGGGGGAATTTGGGATAAAATGGGGGAAATTTGGGATTTTTGGGAATTGGAAAGGTCCCAGATGGTCCCAGGGGAAAAATTCCTGGAATTTTTGGGGGAAATTTGGGGGTTTTTGGGAGTCCCAGGGGAAAAATTCCAGGAATTTTGGGATAAAATGCGGGAAATTTGGGATTTTTGGGAATTGGGACCATCCCAGGGGAAAAAATCCTGGAATTTTGGGGAGAAATTTGGGATAAAATGAGAAAAATTTGGGAATTTTGGGAATTGGGGAAGTCCCAGTTCATCCCAGAGGAAAAAATCCCAGAATTTTTGGGGGGAAATTTGGGATTTTTTGGATTTGGGAAGGTCCCAGTTGGGGAATTTTGGGTTGGGAATTTTGGGATTTTTAGGTTGGGAATTTTGGGATTTTTGGGCTGAAAATTTTGGGATTTTAAGCTGGGAATTCCAGGAATTTTGGGGAATTTTGAGCTGGGATTTTTTGGGATTTTGGACTGGGAATTTTGGGATTTCAGGCTGGGAATTCCAAGGTTTTTGGGTTGAAAATTCCTGGGAATTTTGGGCTGGAAATTTTGGGATTTTGGGCTGAAAATTCCTGAGATTTTTGGGCTGGGAATTCCAGGAATTTGGGGAATTTGGGGCTGGGAATTTGGGGATTTTTAGGCTGGGAATTCCAAGATTTTTGGGCTGAGAATTCCAGGATTTTGGGTTGGGAATTCTGGGATTTTTGGGCTGAGAATTCCAGGATTTTTGGGCTGAGAATTCCAGGATTTTGGGCTGGGAATTTTTGGAATTTTGAGCTGAAAATTCCAAGATTTTTGGGCTGGAAATTCCTGAGATTTTTAGGCTGGGAATTCCAGGAATTTTGGGGATTTCAGACTGGGAATTCCAAGATTTTTGGGCTGGGGATTTTGGGAATTTTGAGCTGGAAATCCCAAGATTTTTGGGCTGGGAATTTTGGGATTTGGGGCTGGGAATTTTGGGATTTTTGGGCTGAGAATTCCTGGGAATTTGAGCTGGAAATTCCAAGATTTTTGGGCTGAGAATTCCAGGATTTTGGGCTGGGAATTCCAGGATTTCGGGGCTGGGAATTTTGGGATTTCAGGCTGGGAATTTCAGGATTTATGGGCTAAAAATTCCTGGGAATTTTGGGCTGAAAATTACTGGGAATTTGGGCTGGGAATTCCAGGAGTTTGGGGCTGGGAATTCCAGGAATTTTGGGAATTCTGAGCTGGGATTTTTTTGCATTTTGGACTGGGAATTCTGGGATTTCAGGCTGGAAATTCCAAGATTTTTGGGCTGAAAACTCCAAGAATTTTTGGGCTGAAAATTCCTGGGATTTTTGAGCTGGGAATTCTGGGATTCTGCACTGGGAATTCTGAGATTTCAAGCCGGGAATTCCAGGAATTTTGGGGATTTCGGGTGGGAATTTCGGGTTTTCCGGGGCCGGGAATTCCGGGAATTTCGGGAATTCTGGGAATTTTGGGAATTTCGTGCCCACCTTGATGCGCAGGCGGTCGAGGACGTGCTGGACGTCGGCGCAGGCGAGCGTGTCCCGGAACGCCTGAGCCTTCACCGCGCCCAGCTGCGCGTCCAGCGCCCGCAGCTGCGCCAGGAACTCCGGGGACGTCACCGGCGACTCCAGGATCACGCTGGGGGGAAAAAACAGGAAAGAATTCCATGGGGAAACGGGAATTCTGGAGAAAAAACGGGGAATTTTGGCGAAAAAATGAGGGAAATGCGCGAAAAAAAGGGGGGAATTGCGGCAAAAAATGGGGGAATTATGGCGGGAAATGGGGGAATTTCTGGCAGGAAATGGGGGAATTTCAGCGAAATGGGAAAAAATTCCATGGGAAAATGGGAAAAATTCCGGGGGGAAAAAATCTGGTGGAAATCAGAGGAATTTTGGTGAAAAAATGGGGAAATTATGGCAAAAAATGGGGAAATTATGGTAAAAAATGGGGGAATTATGGCAAGAAATGGGAGATTTCTGGCAGAAAATGGGGGAATTTCAGCAAAATGGGAAAAAATTCCATGGGAAAATGGGAAAAATTCCGGGGGAAAAAAATCTGGTGGAAATCAGAGGAATTTTGGTGAAAAAATGGGGAAATTACGGCAAAAAATGGGGAAATTATGGTAAAAAATGGGGAAATTATGGCAAGAAATGGGAGATTTCTGGTAAAAATGGGGGAATTTCAGCGAAATGGGAAAAAATTCCATGGGAAAATGGGAAAAATTCCGGGGGAAAAAAATCTGGTGGAAATCAGAGGAATTTTGGTGAAAAAATGGGGAAATTACGGCAAAAAATGGGGAAATTATGGTAAAAAATGGGGGAATTCTGGTAAAAATGGGAAAAAATTCCACGGGGAAACGGGAAAAATTCCGTGGGAAAAAATTCCGGTGGAAATCGGGGGAGTTTTGGTGAAAAAACGGGGAAAATCCCTGAAAAAATGGGTAAATTCTGGCAAAAAAAGGGGAAATTACAGTAAAAAAAGGAGGAATTACGGTAAAAAAATGGGGGAATTTCAGCAAAATGGGAAAGAATTCCATAGGGAAAAAATTCCATAGGGAAAAAATTCCATAGGGAAAAAATTCCATGAGGAAAAATTCTGGTGGAAATTGGGGGAGTTTTGGAGAAAAAAATGGGGAAAATATGGCAAAAAATCTCCTCTCCCAACTCCAAAAAAACCATTTTTTCCCCCCAAAATCCCGTTTTTTTCCCCAAAAATCCCGTTTTTTCCCCAGTATTCCCATTTTTTTATGGAATTCTCTCCCAAATTCCCATTTTTTCCTCACCTGATCATCTCAGGGGGCACCACCAGCTCCTCCAGCACCCCCTGAGCCTCTCCTGACTCCAAAAAAATCCCATTTTTTCCCCAAAAAATCCCGGTTTTTTTCCCCAAAAATCCCGTTTTTTCCCCAGAATTCCCATTTTTTTATGGAATTCTCTCCCAGAATTCCCATTTTTCCATCCCAAATTCCCGTTTTTCCTCACCTGATCATCTCAGGGGGCACCACCAGCTCGTCCAGGAGCCCCCCGAGCCTCTCCCACACCTGGCGCCGGTTGCGCAGCCGCAGGTTCATGGCCCCGGCCTGGCCCTGCAGCGCTCGGATCTCCCAGCTCAGCGAGCTCAGGGAGCTCTGGAATGAGCCCAGCATCTGCTCCATGCGCTGCAAACAACAGGAAAAAATTCCAGGAATTTTTGGGAATTTTTTGGGAATTTTTAGGATTTTTTTTGGAATTTTTTCAGATTTTTTTTCAGATTTTTTCTGGATTTTTTTGGTGATTTTTTAGGGTTTTTTATGGATTTTTTGGGGATTTTTTTAGGGGTTCCAGGAGGGTTTGGGGATGCTTGGGACACTTGGGGACCATTCTGGGACAATTCAGGAATTTTTGGGAATTTTTCCAGCTTTTTTTGGGAATTTTAGGAATTTTATGGGGAATTTTTAGGATTTTTTTCAGATTTTTTTCCGGATTTTTTTGGTGATTTTTTGGGGATTTTTAAGCGCTCGGATCTCCCAGCTCAGCGAGCTCAGGGAGCTCTGGAATGAGCCCAGCATCTGCTCCATGCGCTGAAAACAACGGGAAAAAATTCCAGGAATTTTTGGGAATTTTTCCGGATTTTTTGGGATTTTTTTTGGAATTTTTTCAGATTTTTTTGGGATTTTTTCTGGATTTTTTTGGTGATTTTTTAGGGTTTTTTATGGATTTTTTGGGGATTTTTTTTAGGGGTTCCAGGAGGGTTTGGGGATGCTTGGGACACTTGGGGACCATTCTGGGACAATTCAGGAATTTTTGGGAATTTTTCCAGCTTTTTTGGGAATTTTAGGAATTTTTTGGGAATTTTTAGGATTTTTTTCAGATTTTTTTCCGGATTTTTTTGGTGATTTTTTGGGGATTTTTAAGCGCTCGGATCTCCCAGCTCAGCGAGCTCAGGGAGCTCTGGAATGAGCCCAGCATCTGCTCCATGCGCTGAAAACAACGGGAAAAAATTCCAGGAATTTTTGGGAATTTTTGGGGAATTTTTGGGAATTTTTAGGATTTTTTTCGGATTTTTTCTGGATTTTTTTGGTGATTTTTTTAGGGTTTTTTATGGATTTTTTGGGGATTTTTTTAGGGGTTCCAGGAGGGTTTGGGGATGCTTGGGACACTTGGGGACCATTCTGGGACAATTCAGGAATTTTTGGGAATTTTTCCAGCTTTTTCGGGAATTTTAGGAATTTTATGGGGAATTTTTAGGATTTTTTCAGATTTTTTTCCGGATTTTTTTGGTGATTTTTTGGGGATTTTTAAGCGCTCGGATCTCCCAGCTCAGCGAGCTCAGGGAGCTCTGGAATGAGCCCAGCATCTGCTCCATGCGCTGCAAACAACGGGAAAAAATTCCAGGAATTTTTGGGAATTTTTTGGGAATTTTTTGGGATTTTTTTTGGAATTTTTTGGGATTTTTTTCAGATTTTTTCTGGATTTTTTGGGTGATTTTTTAGGGTTTTTTATGGATGTTTTGGGGATTTTTTTAGGGGTTCCAGGAGGGTTTGGGGATGTTTGGGAGATGCAGGATCAATTCAGGAATTTTTGGGAATTTTTTCCAGATTTTTTGGGAATTTTTGGGATTTTTCCAGATTTTTTCCCGATTTTTGGGGGGATTTTTTGGTGATTTTAAGGCTTTTTTGGGGGGGGGTTTGGGATTTTTTTAGGGGTTCCAGGAGGGATTTGGGAATTTTGGGGATGTTTGGGACACTTGGGGACCACTCTGGGAAAATTCAGGAATTTTTGGGAATTTTTCCAGCTTTTTGGGGGGATTTTTGGGATTTTTTTTTGGAATTTTAGGGATTTTTTCCGTGTTTTTTAGGTTTTTTTTCCTGGGGTTTTTTTTGGGGCCATTTTGGGCCATTTTGGGCCATTTTGGGCCATTTTGATGCCATTTTGGGACATTTTGGGCCATTTTGGTGCCATTTTGCACCATTTTTGTGCCATTTGGGGCCATTTTGGTGCCATTTGGGGCCAGTTGGGGCCATTTTGGGCCATTTTGGGCCATTTTAGGCCATTTTGGGCCATTTTGATGCCATTTTGGGGCCATTTTGGGCCATTTTGGTGCCATTTTGCACCATTTTGCACAATTTTTGTGCCATTTGGGGCCATTTTGGGCCATTTTGATGCCATTTTGGGCCATTTTGGGCCATTTTGGTGACATTTCGTGTCATTTTGATGCCATTTTGGGCCATTTTGGTGCCATTTTGCACCATTTTTGTGCCATTTGGTGCCATTTTAGGCCATTTTGGGCCATTTTGGTGCCATTTTGCACCATTTTGGTGCCATTTGGGGCCATTTTGGGCCACTTTGGTGCCATTTGGGGCCATTTTGGGCCATTTTGGTGCCATTTTGGAGCCATTTTGTGCCATTTTGGGCCATTTTGGTGCCATTTTGCACCATTTTGGAGCCATTTGGGGCCATTTTGGGCCACTTTGGTGCCATTTTGCACCATTTTTGTGCCATTTTGGGCCATTTTGGTGCCGTCACCTCGAGGATGGCGTCGCAGGCGCTGATCTGGTTGTGCAGCTCCGCGATGTTCTCGCTCTCCCGGATGTCTGAGGGGTCAAGGGACACTTGGGGACACCTTGGGGACACTTTGGGGACATCTGGGACACCCAGGGGACACTTTGGGGACAATTTTGGGGGATTTGGGGACATTTTTAGAGGATTTTGGGGCATTTTTAGGGGATTTTAGTGCATTTTTAGGGGATTTTTGAAGGTTGGGGACACTTTGGGGACATCTGGGACACCCCGGGGACACTTTGGGGACAGTTTTTGGGGATTTGGGGACATTTTTAGAGGATTTTGGGGCATTTTTAGGGGATTTTGGGGGTTTAGGGACACTTTGGGGACATCTGGGACACCCAGGGGACACTTTGGGGACAGTTTTGGGTGATTTGGGGACATTTTTAGGTGATTTTGGGGTATTTTTAGGGGAATTTTGGGGGTTTGGTGACATTTGGGACACCCAGGGGACACTTTGGGGACACTTTTTGGGGATTTGGGGACAATTTTAGGTGATTTTGATGCATTTTTGGGGATTTTGGGGACACTTTGGGGACAATTTTTGAGGATACAATCCTGGATCGAGGCTTTTTCCACTTCCTGAAGTTCCAGCTCCACCTGCCGGGAATACTGGCGCAGGTCCACGCCCTGGAACGGCAATTTGGGGACATTTGGGGACATTTTTGGGGTCATTTCTGGAAATTTTGGGACATTTTGGACAAGACCCACTCACGGTCTGCAGCGCCTCCTGCACCAGGGCGTCCTCCAGGTTCTCCTGGATGTGCACTGGGAAAAAGGAGGGGGAAAATGAGAGAAAAAATGGGGAAAACGCCGGAAAAATGGGGGAAAACGCGGAAAAATGGGGAAAAACGCGGAAAAATGGGGATAAAACGCGAAAAAAAACGACGAAAAAAGTCGGAATTGAACGTCCCGACCCCCCCCCCGCGTGCTGCCCAAATGGTTCCGTCCGCATTGGCCACGCCCACTCCCTCAGGCCACGCCCACTCGTTTGGCGGCAGTTCCCAGCTTGTTATACATGCCCAAATAAGGTAAAAGCCGCGCCCCTCTACCCTTAAACCACGCCCACTCTTAGTGCAGCCCGTATGCGTCTTCGGCGAAGCCACGCCCCTCGTGAATTATTCATGACCGACCCCTCTGAGGCCCCGCCCCTTCTCACCATCCACTTCCTCCAGCTCCGCCCCCTCCAGGTCCAGCTCCGCCTCCAGCTCCGCCTCCAGCGGCGCCTCCATCGCCGCCACCTGCTCCAAAACCGCTTCAGCGACCCCGCCACCCCTCCCGCCATCCCAAAAAATTCCCAAATCCCCACAAAAATCCCAAAAGTTCCCTCACAAAATCCTTGGATTCTCCCCTAAACCTCTCCCGGTGCCGGCGCTTACCTCCGTCTGCGCCGCCATCTTGTTGACGCACGGCGCGTGACGTCACTTCCGCGTTCTTCCTCTTCTTTCCCCTCAGCGCCGGGAGGCCGCAGCCATGGTGAGGCAGCGGGAGGGATCCGCCGCCATCGGTGCCAGGGGAGGGTGGCGAGCGGCGGAAAGGGCTCGGGGTGATGGCGGCGGCACCGATGGAGGCGGCCGGGAGGGAAGGGGGCGGCGGCGCGCGGCGATGGCGGCGG